TCGAGTCAAAAACAGGGAGCTTAGCTTTCTGTTTTAATGTAGCCAAGAGGACAGTGTTCGTCTTAGGTGAGTGTAGGTAGTTTAAAATGCTTAAACTGCTGAGGGAAAATGTAATTTTCCGTCTTGTTTATATAGAGGAGACAAAATTGTAGGCTAGAAGTCATTTCTGCATTCTTGGTAAATTATTTCCTCGACAATAGGTTTTATTTATAAACAGGTTTAGCACTGAAATATTTTGGTCATGTTCTCACAGTGAAGTTGTACAAAGTTTTAAATGAAACAAAAACTGCTGAGAAGACTGATTGTAAATACAATAAAAAAATTAAACCAAGATTTAGAATAATTATCATTTTGATCCATACATTGTTAATGTCTGACTGGGCCTCGTGCCACTTTATGTCCAACAAATTGGGCCCTGAGGTCAAAACGGATAAGAACCCCTGRTTTAAATAACCTAAGTTTAGAAAAAAGGAAGTTCAAATCTAAATGGACTGACAAACTAATTATTAAGGATCTACTACACAAAGATGTAAGAAGTCAAATCGCTACGTCATATTTAGAACTCTCACAGCCTCAGCCAGCAGCTGTAGCCACTCAACATAAACAAACACACCCATAAAGTTCTGACCAATTACAGAATGCTCGACGCACAGCGCTGTGACCACAAGACGGGGTCTCAGYGGGTGATAAGAGTCACAAACTACAGTACTTTCAACGCACCCCCACATAAGTGAGACACGAGAATGGGCCTCCTCATCAGACAGTATTTCTCTAAACTAAGGTTGTTCAAAAAGCTATCTACAACCTAAAATATATTAGTTGTCCCAACTTCAAAAGATGTGAAATATCCCTTCTGTGCAGCTTYCAAAGGAAAATATAGACGTCATGTTTTTATACTGGAGCAGGGTAAAGAGTAATTTCTAAAACGTGCATCATGTATTCAGAAGAGAAAGAGGAACAGGACTGTTTTTGCTGACAGTATTACAGTTCGATCATTTATTKCTCATTTAGCTGTTGTCCGTCAGCAGAAGGATACTCTTCGGTTCTGCCCAGCAGTTTCTGACACTCAGCGATCTGTCTCCTGGTATGAGTSACGGGGAGGCTCCACCCTTCAGATACGTACGACTTCAAAGCCTCCTGCAAGAACGTTTCAGCCCGCTCAGGATCTCCTTTCCTCCTATTGAATCACACACAAACACATTGTACAACTTGTAAGTTTAGACTAATAGATCTTTTAGTGTTTTTGTTTAGAAGCATGACAGCCAGATAAAAAGCTAATGACATGACGTCCTGATGCAACCCAGTAATCCAGGTAGAAACAATCAAAAAGAAAAAATAAGCAGGTCCTCTGGATGGGTTGTTCTTTAGTGAAACGTTTCGTCTCTCCTCCAAGAGACTTCTTCAGTCTGATGAGTTTCAGGTGAACTTGGAGTTAAAAGCACTGCCTCCACATGGACAAACAGGTTGGTCACATGTAAAAGAGGGCCATTGCCTAACAATAGGCTTGATTAGCTCTATTGTTCATAGAGGGTCAT